TTTTGGCGATTCTTTGCGGTGGCTTTATTATAAGCATCATAACGCTGATTATAGAGAACATTCATTATCGATCAAGGAGAAGGCAATCGAAAGTCCTTTATCCTTCTAGAAAGCTATTTAAAATTATTTAAAAAAATATAATTGAGATAAAACTTACAATTTACTAAGAAAAAAAGAAGATTTTTTTAAGAAGAGAATTTTTTCAAATTTTTCACCTTCCTTTTTTCTCTATGAATACAAATTTTCTATTTGTATATGTATATGTGTGTATGTGTGCTTGTAAATTTGTCACAGTTAATTATTATTTAAACTTTTTCCTTTGATTGTATACGTGTTGTTGTTTAAAATAACTTTAAATAAATAATAATATTTATTGTAATATATTTAAGTATTAATATTATTAACAATTTTGTATTTTAGATATAATAATATAATTATAATATAGATAGTATATATAATAATTTAAATTATTGTTATAAGTGAAATTTACGATGTATTAACACTAAAATAAAATAAGAGTTTAAAGAAATACATTCCTAGCGAGAGAAAAAGATAGACTTTTCTAAAGCATTTTTTATTTTAAATATTCCCTTACATGCCTGTTAAAAATTATTCAATTTTTATTGAAAATTGTTAAAAAATCGCTATAATAAATTAAATAATACATCAGATTATTCATATCAAGGAGATATCTTTCTCTGCACAGCGTTACAATTCTTTTGCGAGACATGCACGTTTAAATTTACACTGATCCTTATATATCAAACTGAAAACTAAGATGACACTTAAATGACATACTTGAAATAGCAACATCGAGCGATGCACAGATAAATAATGCTGGTTGCGGGAGCTTAACGATGATGAATAATTTATCAGTCTGGTCGATGATTCGCCGATAAAAGTCATATCGTCGCATATCTCGATATAATTTGTAATAATGCTGCCGCACATCACCCGGTGACACTCTTTTGCGCCCACTCCTAGATCCTTGGAACCGATAAATCCTCGTTTACGATGACCGTTCTTCAGTCATGCGTTTGCACCCTTGAATCGCGCTACTCTTATTTCTTTCTTTAACCCTCGCTCCAAGCAGTAATAGTCTCGCTTTTTGAAAATATTCCGCGATTTATTGTTATTCTTAGAAGATTTCAGAATTAAATCGATTTCGCATTGTACCTCTCTCTATTTTTATATTTGTTTTAACTCATATATGATGTATAATTTCTTGTTTCGAATTCATTGTTAATTATTTATTTACGTAACAGTGTACAATTGAACAAAAGAGATATTTATTTTTTTATATGGTTTATATTATCATTTATCTAAATTCTTAATTTAAATCTGTATTTTGCGAAATGAATTATATGATAGTACGATCGATCGCGATATTCTTCTTCGTGTTAGGTATCAAATCGCTGACAGAAGAAATAAGTACTAATAATTATTTCCGACTAATTAACGACGTCCATAGATATTATCGCACATCATGTGTTATTTTCGTACAATCTGATAATTACGGTAAGTACCAGGAGCAATTTCCAACTATCACTTCTCATATTGCACTTCCAATCAGCTGACAGAAAGAAAGTTTCTCTCTCTCTGCAAATTTTTGAACAAACACTGAATCAGATTTCATGTGCAAATTAGTTCTATACAATATTATTTAATATATAAGATATTTGTAGATAAAGTTATATATAAATTACAAATTAATGAATTATTGTATGATGTAATTTATATTATCAATAATATGTTATTAAATAATTCAACATTATTTGATTAAAAAATAAATAATTACGCACGAAGTGTTAGATAAAAAAAAATTTTATATAGATACCTACTAATTAATTATTTTTTAATTTTAAGAAGAATTTTAATATTGTTGCTAAATAAATGTACAACAAATAAATTATCACATTTTTAATTTTTTAAAACTCTTTTTCTTTATTTTATTAAATTGAATAAAATGTAATTAAAAAATTAATTAAATTTAAAAATTAAATGTCAATTAAATCTCAGTTATAATCTAGAAAATTATATCTAATATTGATATATTAAGTAAAATGTAATATGCATTTTTTATGCAAATATTGCAGATTTAAAAACGACGACATTGGTGCATACATTGTCACGCGAACTCTCACGGCAGCGAATCATGATTATGACCATAACTTTTTCAAATCTGATGAGCAAATACAATGATTATCAGAAGAATATCAGATTGCCTTTATTCGTCGTTTTCCTCGATATAGAGGATACTATGTGCAAATTCGCTAAGATCACGAAGAGCATAAAGCCCATCTCTTTTCCTATCTGGTTAATTGTGTTTCTTCAGCATCTTGGAAACCCCCTTAAAGATTACTGCATGCATCCTGCCGATAACATATTTAACGTAGACGTCAGCACTCAGATGCTGATCCTGTGCTACAATCGCCCGATTCTAGTCGAGTGGTATGCCATTCGTGATAATTATACTAGAACGTTTGATCTGGCTACATGGTCTCCTGATAGAGGTCTGATCCTGAGAACGCAAGAAAATCTGTACGCCAGAAGGAGCGACATGTTTGGTGATGTTGTACGCGTGACAGTTGTAAATGTAAGTTTTCACCTTTCTCGAACTCCATTGTGCACTACTTTAACATTGCGACTTAGAAAAGGTCGTAAGCGATAACCTTGTAAAAAATAATCAGTATGAAAAAAATTGCCTCGCAATTTGTCATAGAATCAATATTAGAATTTAACGATAACTTCTAGTAGATCTATAGATGTAAATTGACTTGCCAATTCTGTTGATAAATGCTCGAAGAACTCGCCATTAGTGTCGCTGAAGAACGGTACGATGGATGGATTTTTTGGTTTGCTACTGATAGAGCTCAGCAAAGTGATGAACTTCACGATAAAGATTCTGGATCCAGTGGACTCATTCGGTAGCTGGGATCCGCAGAATGGTTGGTCAGGTGCGATTGGCAAGTTGGTGAACAATGAAGCTGATATTGGCATAGCCGCATTCACAGTAACGAACGATAGACTAAACAACATCGACTTTACGATACCATTGATACGTACAGAATACCGCCTCTATTTGCATCAGCCCATCACGCCTTACGTGCAATGGTTCTGGTACTTTAAGGTAATAATGTTTATTTTAATAGTATAATATATTATTTAAATATATTAATTATACAAGCTATATAGTTAATATATAAAATTATGAATTAGATAAAGATTGTATATTTATCTTGTGTTAATTTGTAATAAAATTAAAAATAAAATTATTAAAAATCATTCAGTTACATCTTTGAGAAAAGAAATATTAAAGTGCTTGCGTGTGTGCGCGCGCGCGCGCGCGCGCGCGTGTGTGTGTGTGTGTGTGTGTGGATGAAAATTTGTGATAATAAAATCTAGTAGAATAAATTATTTTCTTTTACCGATAAATCTTACAGGTATTTAGTCCTGGAGTTTGGGGTACATTAATAATGCTAATAATAATTGCTTCTATTTTGTTAACTGTTATTAAAGCAAAAGGATTCTCGATGAGTATAATATCTGACAACTATATTAAAGTTTGGGGTATTTATTGCCAACAAGGTCTGCCAGGTAATGTTCTTTCTATACTCAAGCAAAACAATAAGTCATCATGATATCAAAATGATTCTAAAATAATCATTAAAAGCCATTTTTCAATCAATTACGATCAATTAATTAATTTTAATGTTATTGTTATTACATATTGTTCTGCTTAGGTAAATATATTTAATATTTAATATACTTCTAATTAATATTTCTATCTAGTATAATTTTTATATATTATTTATGGTAACGTTTGATATAATTAATACATCGATAAATGTTAATTTACCAATATATGTATATTTGAATACGCCAGAATAGAACGCACATATATATTATATATGTATGATAGGTAAGATACTTTTAAAATTTCTAGATACAGATACAGTTACATATACGAAAATTTATCTAAATACAAATATAGATACATATTAAGATGTATATAGGTACAGATATCAGATACTTTAAAAGTATCTTCATACATTTCAGGTTCTCTTAAAAAAATTTTATTGTAATAATGGTAATGTGTAAAAAAATTGTATTAATTATATATATTAAATGAATCATTCATTTATTATATTTATATAGGTAATTCATATAGATAATCATTCATTTATTTATATAGATAATTGAAAAAACTTATAATTATCAAAACGATTTAGAATAAGAATTATAAGACGATATTATTCATCATAGTTTTACAAATTAAAAATGCTTCAAGCATTGTATTTCCAGCTTAACTATACATGCGCTAAAAATTTTACAATCTAAGATTATTGGCTGCGTTCAGCAGAAAAAACAGCTAACTGTAAAATTCTTTAATACGGCTGATTTAGATCCTGTGAGGAATTAAAGGAAAAATCAATTATGTTATAGAATTTTGTAACAGCAAAGCTTTTTTTCTGCAAAATGGAATCAATCGACAATCACGCATAAAATAGAATTATGATTATGTTGACGAAATGTATCTGCAAAATGCGTCTGAAAATTAGTTCAGATACTGTGATTTGTTATCTAGATACAGATACAAATATTCAAATTTGAATGTATCTCAGATACAGATTAGACAAAATGTATCTCTATACATGTATCTAGATACATATATAGAGATACTACCCAACATTGTATATGTATATGTATATATATATATATATA